TCTGTCCCAGCTGGAACCAGGACAAACACCCACACAGAAGGGCTATGGGAATCTCATAAAGCACTGGAAGCCACACTCAGATACCCGGGTGAGGGAGTCACTTGGCAATGTCAGAGCACAGGTCTAGGTACCTGCATTGTGCTCCTTCTCTTGCTCTTCTACAGGACAAGGAAAAGCCAGAGCAAGGACCGGTGAATCCCTCCATGACTCCCAAGTCCAGAGGTGGGCTTTCTGTATGAGATACAAGTCTGCTTTCACCCTTCATCCAGGATGCCACCTCTCAAGTCTTTTTGCCCTCTGGTGCAACACAGTCAATACAGTATCACATCTGTCAGTCTAATAAACAGCTCTCTGTGTCCTGGCATAAAGAAGCCCATAATTCAACCATCAACTAGGTACCATCTCCACCCATCTCCACAAGCTTTCTGACTTTTGGGAGCTGTAGTTCTCCATGCCAAGAACTGATCACAAAGGTAAAATCGCCTCTTGCTGTCTCAGCAAACTCAGAAGTCTGGATCCCCATCACCACAGTGAGAGAGATGTGAAGAAAGCTTTGCTTCATAGTATGAATACTGTTTTATGATTTCTGTGAATTCTTTTGTAGGATGAGTGGGATCTGCTGTTTGATCTTTGACAGGACGAAGAGGCTGCACTAGGAAAATGACCAACAGTAGCTTCCTTAGATCTTCTACCTTCCTTCTAACAGGAATCCCAGGAATGGAAAGTGGGAACGTGTGGCTTGCCATCCCTTTCTGCTGCGTGTATGTTATTTCCATCCTGGGAAATAGTGCAATCCTCTTTGTCATCAAAGCAGAGCGCAGCCTCCATGAGCCCGTGTACCTCTTCCTGTGCATGCTGGCTATCGCAGAGCTTGATGTGTCTCTGTCTATGCTCCCCACAGTGCTGAGCATGCTGCTCTGTGATTCACAGATCAGGTTTCACACCTGCCTCGCCCAGATGTTCTTCATTTGCTCCTTCTCCATCCCGGACTCTGGGGTGTTGAGGGCCATGGCTTTTGACCTCTTCATGGCCATCTTGCAGTATGCACCCATCCTGACCAACCCCAGGATAGGTGTCATTGGGCTGGGGTTCACAGTGAGGAGCATTAGCCTCTTGCTCCCCTTGCCAATACTTCTGAAGAAGCTGTCGTTCTGCAGGTCCCAGGTGCTGGCTCACTCCTTCTGTTTGCACCCCAACTTACTCCAGCTGCCCTGTGCAGATATCAAGGTGAATAGCATGTATGGCTGCTTTGTCATCCTGGCCACCTTTGGGCTAGACTTGTCTATCCTCCTGTCCTGTGCCATGATCATTAAGTCTGTGCTGAGTATCACATCCAAGGAAGAGTGTCTCAAGGCCCTAAACACCTGCCCTAAACATCTCTCATATCTGTGCTGTTTTGATTTATTATATTCCAATGATTGGCTTGTCCATGGCATACAGGTTTGGGAAACCTGCCTCTCCTCTGATTCATGTCCTCATGGCCAATATCTACTTCCTTGTACCCCCTGTGCTAAATCCCATTATTTACAGTGTAAAAACTAAACAGATCCACAGAGGCATACACAAACTTCTCACTCCAAGAAGGCGCTGATGTAGGACACAGAAGACCCAAGAGGTTTTGCATATGGTAGAACAGCTGGCGAGTAATAGTTTAGATACTCTCTACTCCATCCTGTCATCCATTTGACTGCTGAGCGTCCTGAACCTTTAAACTCTTCTTATGCAGTAGATGAAGTATGCCCTGTTTCTAGGCCCTCAGCATTTTCTTTGCTGTATAAAGGAGTGTCGCAGTATCCACAGTCTTCTATACATTCCTGGTCAATAATGCAGGAGCTGTAACTGCCTGAGGTTCCTAAGCTAATGGCCATTCTTTTTAGACAAGGAGGATGTAGCAATGGACGTGTGGGGGTAAGAGTTTCCCACTTTCACCATGGCACCGCATCAGCTGGACCCAGAGCTCGTGCTGGAACGAGGGAGTTCATCCTCCTGGCCAGCACTGCCTGCGCATGTATCTGCAGGTAAAATCTAATGCTTCCTAGATGTGCTAAGCCATCTAGCCTCTAGTGCGTCAGCATAGATGAGCATAGATCTACATATGTGCAATAGCTGTTTATTCTAGCTTTTTACATCTGCAGCCAGACTTGCTAAGACTGTCAAGTGCTTAAGGACCTGGGCGTATGGCAAAGCCCTCTCGTTCCAGCCAGGTGACATTTCCAGCAGGAACAAGACATATCCAAAAGCTGTGATTCGTGCTGCAGGAGCTGAAAGTCACCATACGTTTCCCTTCCCAGGGACTGTAACCAACCCACTCTGGGGTGTTGCAGACTCATAGCAGCTGGGATGCTTCATCTGCTCTGCCTGGACCAGCCACTTAATGGCTCAATGCAGACCCCCGATGGAATCAGAGCCTGTGCAATATCACTGCAGCAGCACTGGGCTCACGATACCATCAGGTCATAATGGGAGCAGAATTATATGCAAGAAGGGTTCAGGTCAGATCCCCAGCTGGTGTGAGTGGGTCCAGCTCAGCCATTGCACTGCAGCTCCACCAGCAACAGGTATTACAGCAACAGGAGAGCCAGCTCGCACCAGGGACTCCTGACATGAGGTGCCTCCATGTGCACTGGGTGTTTAAGCTCCTATCGCCCAGGAGGAGATCTAATCAAGACAGAGCCTGGAGAAAAGTGGCTCAGATCACTCTAAAGCAGATAGTTGGGGTTGGTGTCACCCCAGAATATCCTGCCTGCTCCCCACACCTCCCTCTGCTTTGATTTCCATTTTATTTGAATAGAATTGCTTTGGCATAAGGTTAGAAAGCAGAGAGGCAAAGCAGTGCTATGCACTTAAAACAAAACAAAATCATTGGTAGCAGTGCTGGTTGCAGCCCTGCTGTGCACAAGGCTGTACATCGAACGCCAGTGCCTTCCTCACAGGTCTGCAGCATCCACCGTCCCAGGAGGGGCTAAGAAGGGCCAAAATAAATCCTGCCTTCCTTTTTCCCTTACATAAAGCTGTCATTACTGAGAACAGCCAACGAACACTGTTATTTACTGAAGCCTAAATGGGCACATGAATACCCAAGGGAAATTACAGAAAAATAACAAAAAAATACCCTACATATTCCAAGTCAGACTGGGAACTGAATGGTCGTCAGTGCTTTACAGGTTACCTGATAAGATTTGGCTGATGTGACCCAAACAACAGAAGCCACCTTCCTCAGGCTGAGCCCCCTTCCTAGGGTTTCAGGGTTGAGCACTGGGTTTGACAAACCTTCATGGGGTTTCCCTGTCTCCCATGGCAGCCCAGGAGAACTATCAACAGATGTATTACATATACCTACCACCATGCGGCAAGAGTTTCTTCAAACTCCTTGCTTTGAGACCCACTTCTGTGGGACTTGTGATCCAAATAATATCTTATCACATTCAGGTATTACAAGTCTCGTGGTAGTTCTTTGTGTGTTGGGGCTGTGGTACACTCAAAAGCTTGTTACATCAAAAGGAAGCACACTTTCTATGTAGAGCCAAGAATTCAGTGTTATTGCAATTAAAGTTTTAACAATCTTTTAAAAACACAGAAGACAGTTGCTGTCAGTCCAGTGGTTGACCTAGTGTCATCTGCAAGCTTTGAGAGTTCACTGTGCATGCCCTCGTCCAGGTCACTGATGGCAATGCAGAATAAAATGAGTCCTAGCAGAGACCCCTTGGGGAGGCCACTGCTGACTCTTCTCTGGACTCAAAATGACTTACCCTTACTTTAACCAAATTCCCATCCCTAGAACAGGGTTTCTCCCAATGCCCCTGCAAGGTAATTTCATTAAAAGCATTTAGTCACAGGCTTTTGGTCATCCATGTGTATTATGGCCATGGGATCCCTCCAGCTGGAGCCACTCTCACAGAAGTCCAGCAGACCACCATGGCAGGATCCCCCTTGCAGTAGCCTGGCTGACTCTGCAAGAGATTTACCCGTATGTGTTTACCCATATGCTTAGTAACTTTATTCTTGATCACAGCCTCTACTGTCCCACTAGTGATGGAAATCTAGCCCACTGGTCAGTAGGTCTCAGGAACCCCATGGAGCCCCTTTTGCAGGTGGAATTGAAGGGTTGATCTGCCCTGCAGCACCATGACCATTTGCAATAGAGTGATGCTCCCTGTCCAGCAGCTCTGCAGCTTTACACCTGAGCTCCTTCCAGACTCTCAGATGAATTACATCTAGTCGTGGGAGTTAGTGATATTTAACTGATATTTCTTTGATGTAACTCCTCCTCCATATTTACTTTGAACTGATCAAGATCCTCTAATCCATTTGCTACGAAGACAGTGTTGGGTATAGAAATCCCATGCAAAGACTTCACTGAGCTTCAATGCTATGGCCTTATCACCCCTGAGTGTGCTTCTCACCAAGTGGCCCACCTGTTTCCTAGCTGGATTCCTACTTTTGATGCATGTAAAGAGCGTTCTGCTGACAGTTAGAGCATTTTTTGCAAGGTGCTCTTCCCATTAATTTTTCTCTCTCTTGAACTCCTGCTTACGTTTGACCTGTCACTTTTTATGGGCATTTCATGTAGGCAAGCTTCCCACTTCTCAGTGAGTCCTGGGCTGCTGGCCATGGCCAGGCCACGCCAGGCCAATCTTTGACACAGGAGCCTGAGGAGGCTTTTGCGAATGGGCTTGTTTTTCATGCTGTAGATGATGGGGTTCAACACAGGTGGGACAAAAAGGTAGACGGTGGCCATAAGCACGTGGCCGAAGGGTGCAGCATTCTTCCTGTACCGGTGTATAATGGACAGGCCAACCATGGGGACATAGAAGATGAGGACAGCGCAGAAGTGAGAGACGCAAGTGTTGAGGGCTTTGGCCTGCTCCTGTCTGGAGGTGATGCCCACCACGGCCTTAATGATCATGGTGTAGGACAAGACAATGAGCACTGAGTCTAGGATCATGAACAGTACCAGGGTTAGGCCGTACATGCTGTTCAGGATGGAGTCTGTGCGGGCCAGCCGTATCGTGTCCTGGTGCAGGCAATAGGAGTGGGACAGCATGTGGGACCTGCAGAACGGCAGTTGCATGAGCAGGCAGATGAGCGGGAGCAGCATCAGAGAGCGGCAGACCATCCCCAGCCCAATCTTTGCAATCCTGGCACTGGTGAGGACGGAGGAGTATCTCAGCAAGCAGCAGATGGCCATGTAGCGATCAAAGGCCATGGCCAGAAGCACTGAGGACTCCATGAAGGAGAAGGCATGGATGCAGAACATCTGGGTGAGGCAGACCGGGAAGCTGATCTCTCCGGTGCCGAACCAAAAGGCCCACAGCACCGTGGGCAGGGTGGACAGAGTCAGGCCCAAGTCCGTGGTGGCCAGCATTGAAAGGAAGTAGTACATGGTCTGGTGGAGCCTTCGATTCACTCTGACAACGAGAAGGATGGTGCCATTGCCCAGCATTGCGATGACATACATCAGACAGCATGGGAAGAAAACCCAGCGGTGCAAATTGCACCTCGAATTCTGTGTTCAGTTTTGGGCCCCTCACGACAAGAAGGACATTGAGGGGCTGGAGCGTGTCCAGAGAAGGGCAACGACGCTGGGGAAGGGCCTGGAGCACAAGTCTGATGAGGAGCGGCTGAGGGAACTGGGGCTGTTTAGCCTGGAGAAGAGGAGGCTGAGGGGAGACCTCATCGCGCTCTACA